CGATTGAAGACTGGTCAAGGAGGTATGGGATTGCAGTGAATGTAGGCAAATGTCAGGCCCTCATCTTAGGTAGCTCCTATTACTTGAATAGCCTAAATGTCAATCAGCTTGATCCGATAACATTTAATCAAACCACCATACCATTGTCTCCTCACGTAAAGGATCTAGGCTTGTATCTGGACAGCGGGCTCAACTGGAATTATCAGGTTGCTCAGATTGGCCGGAAAGTAACTGCCACGCTACGATCTCTCTACAGGTTCAAGAACTTTCTGCCACCAAATATCAAGATTCTGCTTGTCCGGTCCCTTGTGCTTCCTGTTGTTGATTATGCTGATGTTTGTTACTCCGATCTATCCCAAGACCTTCTTAACAAATTGGATCGAATGCTCAATAACTGTATCCGTTTTATCTTCGGTCTTCGTAAATACGACCATATCTCTTCCTTTCGCGCTCAGCTTAAATGGCTTCCTGTCCGTGAGAGGAGATCCCTCAGATCCCTCTGCATGCTCTTCTCTATTCTTAATGATCCTTGTGCTCCAGATTACTTAAAATCTTGCTTCCAGCTATTAGGCAGTTGCCACAACCGTAACCTCCGCTCGACTGATAACTTGCTCCTTGAAATACCTTCCCACCGGACCTCTTTTATTTCTAATTCCTTTACAATAAGTGTCATTAAACTTTGGAACGCGCTCCCCCTCAATATCAAAAAAGCTCCTAATAAAATCTCCTTTAAACACCAAGTTCATGAATTTTACTTAAAATCGCTGCAACGCTAGGTCTAGGTCTTCGTCGATATATATTTATTTATGTATTTATGCCTATATATTTTATGCATATGACTATATACTATTTACTATTATGTAATATATATGTATAGCTATATTATTGAATAATTACCTTTTTATTTATTTTTTCCTCTCTCTCTCTTTGCTGTTAGTTTATTCTCCGTACCTTATTTTTCGCAGATTTTCTATTTAAACCCTAAGGTTGACTGGTAGAGAATGCCATATGGCATTAAGTCCGCCTTATGTGCCATATTAAAATTGTGTACATTAAAGATTAAATAAATAAATAAATAAATATTACTCGTACTAAAGCCTCTCAGATAGAGAAACTAACGTTTGCCCTCCACAACCTGCTAAGTATTATTCATTTACATCATTGTATTCTTGTCTACTATTGTCTTGTCTTTTAATCTTCTGACTAGTCTGAAAGTCTGTTATAGGAGTTCCTTTGATAACCTCCTTTATCCTCTGTTAAATGGAAGTCAATAATTTGACTGGCGAAAGCTGGTTAAATTAAAGACAAAATCATTTATTTCAATTAGACCAGGAAGACACATTTAAAGAGCAACAACAAAAATTGATCATTTCAAGGTGTAGATTCCTGTGGAGAAGAACGAGCAAGAAACTCCATAGGTTACTCTTTTTCAATCAGGTGCACAATACAATTCTCTAGTTACACAGTTTTTTTGGTCCGATTGTGTGACAGCAATGTTACACCAAAATCCAGTCAAAGAAAGTCAAAAGGCCAGCAACGCACCTGTGACTCCTCTGGTGTTGCGGGTGTCCATGGGCGGCGCTGATCGCTTACCATCAGGTGATCCGTCTGCTCGTTTTGCCTTCTATTCCATAAAAAAAGAGATCGCTGGTTATACACCCCGTCAGGCAAATAACACGCGTAATATTTTTCTTGCTATTCTGTGGAGCCTCTATGTCTAAACAAACTGATCTACATAAAACACTTATTCGGTCGATATGTAATGAGTACAAGGTCCTTCGTTTAACCTCTCGGGTCGGGCTGAAACTAGGTAATGTTGGATTTTGAAATCCTCAATTATGCAACATGAATCTGACTGCCTCGTTGGCCGAGTGGTCGCAATTGCGACTGCCGAGCAAGGGGTCTCGGGTTCGATTCCCGGGTCGGGCAAAGTATTACTGGGTTTTTAAAAATTCTCAGTAGTAGCACGGAGTCTGGAACAGTGCCCGGTATATGGCAATAGGCTCACCCCCTATTACATGGGACTCATAACATAAATAGTGAAAAGTGGGTGTTACATTGTACAGTGGTATAATGTGCACCTCTGCCTACCCTTTCGAGGATAAAAGGCGTGATGTTATGTGTGAATCTGACCGTGTCTTAGGACACTTGCACTTATTGCAGTTGTAGCCAATAATACGTCTAACTCCTCATCTGCAAAAATTCGTACTCTTAAATGAGAAACAGATTTTAAGTGTGGGAGAGTCATGCTTCGGCACGAATGGGCCGGTTCGAGTGGAGTGATACCACGGCCTCACAGAACACCGACGTGAAACAACACTTGCGTTGTGTTTCATCGTGTGAGTGAGGTTACCGGAGTCCCAAATACCACAAATACAAAATGACATTTGACATGACTCTACCGTTGAATAAGTTACGTTAGGCGTGAATAACACATATTATGTTGTCTCAATCGTTTCGCAAAAGACGTTGGGTCTGTGAGCACATAATGTCAATTTTTCTAGCCTCGTAAATTATTATGTAATTTAGTTTGACGGTTTGTTCAAATCATGCGTGGTGTTAGGAATAATGTCAATCGTATGCGTTCGTGTAATAGTTTTTCAATAAAAGTAAAAAAAGTCGAAATCATTTATTTCAATTAGACCAGAAAGACACTTTTGAATATCAACAAAAAATAATAATGTGAATCTAGTTGCGCATTCCAAGGTGTAGATTCCTATGGAGAAGAACGAGCAAGAAACTCCATAGGTTACTCTTTTTCAATCAGGTTCACAATACAATTTCGGTTACATAGTTTTGTTGTAATCTAAATACATGATGACTTATTGCCTGGTCTCTTTATTCCTTAAATAAGTAAATAAGCTCGACCGGAGTGATGCCACGGCCTCACAGACAACCGACGTGAAGCAACGCTTGCGTTGGGTTTCGTCGTGTGAGTGAGGTTACCGGAGGCCCAATAACCCTCCCCTTCCCCAATCACCCTAATTCCTGAATCCCTAACAATCCTCAAATTCCCAATCCCAACAAGGCCGGTAACGCGCTTATAACGCTTCTGGTGTTCCGGGTGGCGTGCAAATTGCTTACCATCAGTTGATCCATCTGCTTACTTACCTATAAAAAAACGCGAGTTCTCATGCTCAGCGGTCACGCTTGCGACCAAGAAGCGACGAAATAAAAATGATGAAAGAAATAAATTAATTTACAATGGAACATTAACTAATTATAAAAATACAAAAACACGTGTATTATTTTTAGACTCGTTTTTATAATATTTACTTGTTTATCGGCTTGTGTTAATTGTATCGAATCGACAAGTATTAAAATACCTGAATACAAATTGACCATTGACCTTTTAAAATTTACTCGATAACTTTTAAGTACTTGGGAACAGGTCAAAATTAATTGACACGTTCATTTTATAGTGACTGTCTTGATGGTCAAGTCAAGAATCGCAAGCAAGTGGTTTGTATCCTAAAGTAGCTGATCTCGCGCGGATTTTTTTATGGGTCAAGCCGGCAAAATATCATACGGATCACCGGTAAGCAATCGGCGTCGCCCATGGCCACCTGGAACCAGAGGCATTACAATTGTGTTACCGGCCTTTTGGGGATTAGGAGTTTGATGTTTGATGGGAATTTCACCCGCTCTGCTCGAGTCCTATTGCTCATACCGCGTCCAAACAAACAAACTCTTCAGCTTGTATTAGATGCAAGATTAAAATTAAATAAAGTATTATTGGATTTTTTATGGGATAAGCCGGTAAACGAGCAGACGGATCACCTGATGGTAAGCAATCGGCGCCGCCCATGGACAGCCCATTTATCTAGGAAGGCTATGGGATTAGGTACACCTTTCTACACGATCAATAGGCGTTAAGCAGAGCAAGTGAAACCGCGCTATAATGTTATAATTTTACAAAATGAAGCCCGATAATCATCGAAATAAAGTAAAAAAAATTGTTGGCACATAAAAATGAAAAATCACGCTCCGATCGATTCATTAATAGAAAAATGTCTGTTTTTATCGATATCTACGCAAAAACGTAAATATGTTGTTATAATCTTTTCCTATTTCCTATATTTGTGCGAAAATTCTCAATATGATAATTATTATGGCCTTGAATGATAACATTCAGAATGAGGTGAGAAGGTGCCTTTGATGGTTCGTGGTCGCACGTTTTGGCAGCCATGATTGTTTTTTGTTTTTTTTTTTATTGTTGTGGTCATAGATAGATGCGATATTACGCTATTCGTCCTATTTAAAATAGGTTATGTTTAACTGGCTTGGTTTTTTAATGTTAGGCATTTTTTGTGAGGTTAGTTTGTTTGTAAATATTGTGTAAGATATTTTCGATAGATTTCAAAATGTTGTGTAGCTCAAAGTTTACGTACATTTTTGAACTTTGTAAAATATTACAATGCCAGTAATTATAAATTCTACCCTATATGTTTATTGAAGTGGAACCTGTCGTAGGTATTATTATGTTCTCTCATTAATTAACTCACCTATTCCTCTCTCTCTTTCACAGATATGGCAGTGAGCGAGACAACGCTATCCAAATGTCACAAAAATTTCAACCGTCGACCCGCCGACTTGTGTACAATGTGATTTTCTAAAATAAGTTCAAAAATTAACTAAAATTTGTAAATGTAAGTGTGAAATAGTGTCTGTAAGTGTCAAAAAACGCATTCCGTTCATATTTCGTGCTCAAAATCGTGTAAAAATCTCTGTGCTGTGCTCAAAACATCCAGTTCCTTGAAAATGGCTAGTGACTCAAAATACGTCCATTATTGCATACAGTGAATTGAATAAGTGCTTTCTTAGTGCAAAATAGTGTTTTCAAATTAGTTTTCTACTAATAATGCTAACGAGAAATTGGCGCGTGTGAATAGTGTTAACCAACACCATCTATTGTGCAATGGATTGAGTGATTTATCGTGGAGTTGTGTACAACGCCATCTGTTATTGAGTAGCGGCAATGTTTAGTATCTGATATTGCCATGGAGGCCGGTTTCATACCGGTTAGTGCCGGCAGTGGCGGTAATGCGTCGCAAGTTAATTCCGTGGTGGCGCCACCGGCTAATGTTATTCGCGCGCCGGGCTTGAAGCGCGGGAAAATGGAAGAAGCTATATCGGATCGGGTAAGTGAATTTAACTCTATATAAAGTTGGTTTAAAGATGAAAATAATTCTAAATAAATGTATTGACAACGCCTGTTTACGTAAGATAATAATTATTTGTATGAAAAATGATTTCGTCACGGAATATTCTAAAAATGGCGCGTTTAAACAGTTAGCGAGTCGTGTCCGGAATATTTATCTAGTACTTATGCGAAACATAATAAAGCTGGACTGTCGTTCGTCATCATTGTCAATATTATGGATATTTGAACCTTAATACACGTGCCTAGGCTACTGTGAAAATAACTTGTAAAAGTTTCTATCAACTTTTAACTATTGCTAAAGAGGAAGAAATCTATACTTATTTCTCTTTAGCAATTGCGATGTTTTCATCATGATTGTTCTTCTACGACTTTTATAATTTTTATGGATGTTAAACAATGTACTGTTGAGTTGATTACTTATAGTCTAACTGAATCGATGAATCAGTCAAAGAATTTAAGAATTTAATATTTGAAACCAATGATATTAAATTAATAATATTTTATTAGAATATCATTGTTTGAGACAATTCTGGGCTCTCCAATCTCCCGAATCCCCAACAATCCTCAAACTCTTAATCCCAAAAACAGCCTCTAACGCACTTGTAACGTCCTTCGCCGTTGGCTTACAATCAGGATTGCAGATGGAACACGGTCTACTCGTTTGCCGGCTTATTCCATAAAAAAAAATACAACGATAACTAGCTGTAATTACGAATAGAGACAGAATTTCAGAAACAAAAGTCTTTTATCTTAGAACCTATCCACCAGATGATCCAGTGCTTTCTCCTTGAAAGCTGGTAACTTGCAACCCCTCTGGTGGCGCAAGTATCTATCAGTCTATGGACGGACGGCACAGATCACTTATCGTACTAAAAAGTGATCCATATGCTCATCTGCCCTTCCTATCCCAAAAAACCACCAGATTGCGTGCTGATCTACTTAAACACACAACATCGCTCTTTTTATCTCCGAAGGGGTAGGCAGATGTGCACATTACGGCACTTAATGCCACTGTACGATGTAACAACCACTTTTTACTATTTTATGTTATGGAGTCCCATGTAATAAGGCCTATAGCCATATACCGGGCACATTTCCAGGCTCCATGGTACTAGGTACTGCGATTTAAAAAAAAATCAAATACTTGAACATTCGGCCAATTAGGCAGTCTATCAACTCAAACACATTTTGTTGTAACTCCTGGAAATCTTATATCCCCTTTATAATTTTTCTCAGTAAATAAAACTTCACAAAAAATACTAGACAAAACAATTTCCTTTCTCAAACATCTCGCATTCTTGAAATAATGGAATGCACCAGCTGTGTAGTCAGTCGGCATCGCTTGAAACGAACTGAGCGAAAAATTGGCGGTCCACTGCACTGCTGGACCGAATTGCATTATAGTACGACGATCGATCTGCATATCTTGATGAATTTGGTTTATTCTTTGCTTAAGAGATTGCGGTTTTAATTTCACAGACGTATTGAACGCAAGTTTGTACATAAAGTTTTCTTCCCTACCACATACTCTTTGTCTCCTATTGGGATGATGACGGTGTATGAAAATTAAAAATCTATTTAGTCCGTAAGTTAGGCGATGAAAAAATATTAGACATGTATTTTTTTATTTTGTTGTATAATAAAATCAAAGTTTAGGATTGGGGGCTAAAACGTCATTTCTACGTATAAAATGTTCATAGAAGTGACGTCACGCGACATTTCAAATCAATATATCGTCGAAAGTATTCGTTTCTGTAAGAAAATAAAAAATATGTGTGTAATGATTTAAAATAATCTACCAGACGGACATTAAAATAAAAATTATTCATATACCCTATTGGGGTACGCAGAGACAATAGAACGCTAAAAGGCACGATTCTGTCATATTTCTTTAGCTTCATCTACATTCATCAATCTCTTCATGCCTGCTCGTCGAATGAGGGTTCTCTTCCGTGGTCTTCAAATTATAACTACAATATTGGAGATCCAGAAGTCTGGAGGTCGCAACAAGGAAAATTCATGCACAAATGCAGTTCAAAAAATCTGCACATTGATTTTCTCGTTCTTATTTTGCATTCAGTGTTTTCCATGCCTCGGTGTTGCTATTGCGCATCTAACCCAACGCGCCCTCTGCCGGACACCACGAGCGTTTGCTTCCAACTCGCAATACGCATCGTAAATAATTGTTAATATTATGTTTTTCGGCTAGAAATTCGACTAGTTTCAAGCCATTGTATAGGCTCATATACGTATTAATGAATAGCATTCCGCGACACACGACGCTGTGACTGTCGCGCTACTACTCAAACAGTTATGTGAGCAAGCTAAAAAACATAATAATCCTTACTTCCTTACTAATATTATAAATCTGAAAGTGAGTTTGTTTGTTTGTTTGTTCCACCTTCACGCCGTAACTACTCAACCGATTGCTTTGAATTTTTGCAGACGTAAAGTTAGAAGTCCGGATTACTTTTTAACCCGGAAAATTAATATTCCCGAGAAAAAACAAAAGTATTGGTATAGATGGCGCTGTGTGTATTGGTATATGTCACATAGGCTACTTTTTATTCTTTTGTGACGCGAGCGAAGCCGCGGGTAAAAGCTAGTTAAGAAATAAATTGCTTGAATTTTATCTAAGTACTTTCTAGCCTAAAAAAACCTACGCCCTTAATTACCATAAGTCTGTCCGTTCCAAATATTCTCAAGATTTTCCTGACATCCATATTTTTTCAAGATGTAGGCCCGTTGCCTTTGAGAGCACTCAAGCCTCTCAAAACGGTCGTGGGTCGTCACAGTTCGCCTTTACGTTTTCCCTTTTTATTTCGCAGCCATTTTGAAAAATGTTTTCTTTAAAAATAACTCCGTTATTTTTACTTTCTTTTTGTAGTTTATCAAGTACACAAGTCACTGCAACGCATTCAAGAACGAAAACTAGCCTCATTATAGCATTATAGCCCCGGGACCCTGGGACCCTACAAGGAGTCGTGATTTTTTTCGGGAAAATTAACAAATCGGGCAATTTTAGGCTATTACAAATGGAGGCCACGAAGTCATCTATTAGATTCTAAGTAACTGCGTCATCATCCTTCAAATGTTTCGTTATAGGCAGTGGTATCTTCATATACAGAAGATATTCTAACAGATTTACTTATCATTAAATCGTAACCCCTAACCATCAAACCCTTTAAAAGAAGAAGCAAGAAATACACAAAAAACACCCAGTTCTGTCCATATATGCAAATACTTAATCGTATCCATTGACGCTGAAGTCATTCATTAAAGTTTTAAAACATACATCGGCTTGTTCTAAATGTTCTATACCATCATTCGGTCTTCAAACTTGGACTGATGATTTTTGCATCATTCCGGTCTGGAGAGCGCAAAAAATGGCCGTTCAAGTTGCTTGGTCGAACGCTGCCGAACGGTCGAAGTCAAAGTCAAAATCATTTATTTCAATTAGACCAGGAAGGCACTTTTGAATGGCAAAACAAAATATTGGAATATAAAAAAGAATGCCAGTCTGTCGGTCAGTCCTCTTGTGCAGCTATTTGCTGCAGTTTGTAATGTTCTATCTATACTTATTAACTTATTTATAATCTAATTCATTTATTCAAATAAAAAACTTAAATTAAAAACTAACTATTACTTAAAAAAAAAAAAAAAATTAAAACTAAATATTACTAAATTAAAACTAAAAAATTAAAACTAAATATTACTAATCTAATTGGTTATGCGAAAGTAAACTTGAATGATAAGCCTATGAATTTGAATATGAGCTCTCGAATTAGTACGTGAGTAAGCCGAAAACATAATAATTTATTTGAATGATAAGTTGTACTATTCTTATCTATATTGTCCCGAAAATCAACTGGTGTAGTTAGTCTTGTAGTCTCACTTAAAATAAACATTATTTCATTCTTCTTCTCCCAATGATTACTATCTTCTTCAATTTTCTGGGTTGTACAGTAACCAGCAGATCAAGATACTGTTTTTATAATAAATATCGTGAGAGATACTAAATTAACTGAAAATCGCGGGTTACTCACGTGAATATACTGAGAACTACTACTACTACTACAGCCTACAGCAATGTCGAGTAGGCTGCGCAACATCGCCGCGACCGCGCACGCTGCTCATCAGGAATAACCCCTCTGTGGTTCGAAACTAGTAGAGCTTTTGTCAGTATATTCACGTGAGTAACCCGCGATTTTTAGTTAAGATCAAGATACTGTTAAATTTATTAATTGGTTTTTCGATTTTGTGTCAACACAATAAAGGTTAAGATTAATTAGAGAGATATTGACAGAAAAGGATGAGTTGTCCAGCTGACCAGCGTACCACTGTTTATCCTGGTGCATAGGAGTTGCAGTTATTGGACATGTATAGTGAACTCATGACCCTACACGGTTATCCCATTCTAGTTTGTCTGGACTTCAAAAGATAAAGATACGCTAACCTCCGCGTTGGTTTCAATATTTCTTTTCAGAGTATTCGGATAGGAAATGCCGATACCATCTAGTTATTGTTTTGGGTTGACATTCAAAAGTGTACTTTATAGTCCATGACTCATCATCAACAGCCTATAAATGCCCACTGCTGAGCAAAGCCTCTTCTCACACGAAAAAGGTTTGAGCATTAATCACCACGCTTGCTCATCGCGAGTTGGCGATTTCAAACTAATAATTAGAAATTATAAGTCCGGGTTTCCTCACGATGTTTTCCTTCACCGTTTGTCAGTGGTATCTAAATAATATATAACTCGGAAAAAGTCACATTGGTACTTGCCGTTGGTAGGTTTCGAACCCACCATTATGCATGAGAAGCGGTCGTCTTAACCCCCGGGCCACCACGACGACCATCACTGATTTATCATTAATCATTATCATAGTCCATGACTGATTTATCATTAATCATTAACTCAATAAAAAGCCGTTTTGTACAGCCAGAATAGGCCTCAACCTCTCGATCGAAACCACTAGCCTACTTTGAAAGGAAACGACACTGATTCTAAGAATTCTGCTCACCTCCGATTAATGTTTCGATAGCCACGTCTAATTATTATCAAGTATTTTAAAAGTTTTTCTAATGTGTCTTCTATCTATACATGGACGTTTGATTACAGATGTTCAATTTAAACTAAGTATATAGATTTTTGTTGAATGCGTGTCATAAATGTTAATTTATGTTTTACCTACTAGCTTCTTAGTTTCCGTTCGTTAGTCTAGCTAAAACTCGAGAACGGCTGAACCGATTTGGATAATTTTGGTCTTGAAATGTTCGTAAAAATCCAGAATAGGTGTAAAATCTGAGTAAAGAGTAAAGAAGTTTGCCGGGGCAGCTAATTTGTAAATAATAAAAATATATTTTGTAGCTCCAGTTGGTTGAGTAATTTTAAACGCAATCACACAAATCGATTATTCTTAGTGCGCCCATGGAAATTGGACCCCACACCTCTTGGTCACTAACCTCTACGTAATATCAGTATTTTTAGGGGGAAAATCATCCAATGACTTCTTCCGCCTGGGTGAGGCGAGAGGGAGTGTCAGACTCTTACTGACTAAACACCACCCCGTTCCTACTCCTGCTCTTCGAGCCGGAGCCCCAGCTTAGTTTAGTTAATTACTCAATGGTATTCCTATCTCATATTATTTATGTACATGTTTATATGTCAAATTATATATGTTACTCGTATCATGTAATATGATCGCCTTGGTTAATCTGTATAGTATGTAGTGTACTATGTATATCTGTATTAAATATCGTTACTAATGTCATACGTTTGTTTGTCTGGCTTTAATGAAAAATGTTGGTTTACTCACGCAAATATACCTACTGAGAAAAGCTCTACTAATTACGAGTTATAGTGGGATTCCTCCTTATGAGAAGCGTGTCTTACGATATTATTATTCATATATATATAACTAAAAATCGCGGGTTATTCACGTGAATATACTAAATGCGCAAGTAGCAACACCGAGGCGAACGCCAACGCTGGCCAGTAGGCTGCGCGACATCGCCGCGACCGCGCACGCTGCTCATGAGGAAGAACCCCTCTGTGGTTCGAAACTAGTAGAGCTTTTCTCAGTATATTCACGTGAGTAATCCGCGATTTTTAGTTAATTTAGTATGTCTCACGATAGTTATTATAAAAACACAAGAGGTTCTATTGTCTATTTGTTAGTTTGCATTAAAGAATCTCCGAAATTACTTAACCAATTTGAAAATTTCTTTTAATATTAGAACATTCACTTTCAAGGAGTAATATTGGCTAGTTTTTCTCTATCTGTCTGATATTTCTACAAGGTCGGGATCTACTCGAGTCAATCTTAAATTGCAAGCAGGCGAAACCAAAGGCAGAAACAAGAATGGTAATACACACATAAAATGTGCATGTTAATCTGGCCGTATTAGATAATGTGTGTCAGATATTAATATCATGTTGTATGTCTACACAATACGGTTTTAGGTTTGATTTCTGCTTTGAGGACAAACTTGCTTGTCGGTTCAGAGATCGATCGGTTCAGAAATTTGACTGCTAAGTATGAAGTCTCGGGTTATTTTGCGTAGATATTAAGGTACTGGACTGGCTAAGCACTGCCTCATAGACCGAGTAGTCGCAAGTTCGACTGCCGGGCAAGGAGTCTCGGGTTTATTTCCCGGGTCGGGCAAAGAAATACTGGGCTTTTTAAAAATCTCAGTAGTAACAATTCCATTTTTTTTTCTACATATATATACAAGCGCTAAATGGCATTTGGCTACAGCTGCTGGAAAGAAAACGAAAGCATGCTACAACTTTTATAAAGTTGATAAAAAAAATCTTTAAAAAAATATTGTATTTCCTTTGACCTAAGTTCCTTGCGGTGTTTACTCTTAGGATGCACTCTTTAGTTTCAAAAAATAATCTAGGTACTTTCAAAAAGACTTCAGCCTACCCGTCTATAACCAAAAATGTAAGTAAAGTGATATTATCTTCATAAATACGAAGTTTCATCAATCATTTTTTGCATAAGAACTGTCAAAAATATCAAAGTAACAGAATTTTGTTCTTATTGAATTGAAAAGATTATTTTCAATGTTTAGCAATGACCCCAAGGTTAAAGATCCAATTGGAGGACGTCTGAAACGATATGAAAACATATAATAAGTTATACATTTAAGTACCAATTAGAAGGCTCATGACAAAATCTGGTGTTGCACGGACACCCGTCCATGGACGGCGCTGATCGCCTACCATCAGGTAATCCGTCTGCTCGTTTGCCTCCTATTCCATAAAAAAATTGGTAAGAAATGATTAATTAATTTAACTTTAATTTGTGCCTATGTAGCTACATCTATAATCCCTATGTAAATGTTACAGTTAGATAATATCAATAAAATATTCACGATATCAAAACCCGATTGAAAACTAAAAAATAACAACATAACATCACGCCCTTTATCCCCGAAGGGGTAGGCAGAGGTGCACATTATACCACTGTACAATGTAACACCCACTTTTCACTATTTATGTTATGAGTCCCATGTAATAGGGGGTGAGCCTATTGCCATATACCCGGCACAATTCCAGACTCCGTGCTACTACTGTGATTTTTTTAAAACCCAGTAATTCTTTGCCCGACCCGGGAATCGAACCCGAGACCCCTTGCCCGGCAGTCGCACTTGCGACCACTCGGCCAACGAGGCAGTCAAAACTAAAAAAATACGTGTTTTATGAATCTATGTTCGTCTATTCTAGGAACTAAATCCGTGATGCCATTCAGGCCGTACTAGCGCTTAGTTGATGAGATTCCATGGTGTTCCATGGCAGATATTTCCCATGTAAGTATCGTCGAAAGTCCGAACACGTACGTAACGCAAACATCCGTCGTATAATTCTAATGACACATTAACGTGTGATTCGTACGAGTTGTTGGGTTGCCAGCGTAGGAATATTTTATAAATTGTACGTATTTTTGGTAGTGGTCTTTTTTTGGGGTTAGTAAAGGCTATACGGGACACCATGGCGTCGCACTACCGTGGTGACCGGACTGACTGCTCACAGTGAGCAGCTCACTGAGTAACCATACAGCGCTATAGTGTCGCGGAGAACCTAACGGGTTACCTAACGGGGCTCTACGTGCAGGAGAAGGAACGGGGTGGTTTTTAGTCAGTAAGAGTCTGATACTCCCTCCCGCCTCACCCAGGCGAGAGCAGTCATTCGATGATTTTCCCCCCTTAAAAAAATACAGCGCCATAATAATTAGTGGTGGCGCGACCAGTAATATGATGCGCTGGCGACCGAGATTGGTCTCTGGTCTGGTGAGGGACTCTATAGAGCTGCATACATTTTGTTGGTGTTGGCGACTGATGGCGCTGCCATGGTATCCCAGTTAAATATAGGCTTAAGGGTTTGATGATTTTGAGAAAGCATGTTTTGTTCTGTGGTGTAAGGCTTGTTCTGTATGACATGGAGCTCATAACAGGTTAATAAGAAAATGAATTAAATGAATGTATTCCTAGTTATTATTATTTTTTTATTACACAAAACTCAGCAGGTTATTTAGTAAATGCAACATGTGTAATTATGACTAGGTATAGAAACTTTAAGCCAATAACAGAGTTTCTCAGTATGCGTTAGGTAAAAGCAGTATTTTTCCTAACGCAGTTTATATGACAGATTTTAGTCAGTAAGAGTCCAACTCAAAGAAAAAAAGTCATATGACAGATGTTTAAAACACATTTTTTGACAAATAAATAATTATGTATGTATGATGTATGTGGATGTTATTCCCTTTAATATTAGTAATAACTATCAACTTAAATAGCTACGCAACAAACCAAAAATCAAGTTAACTTACCTTGAAAAACGCTAACATTCGCACTCAGACTGTTTGTGCTTACCAATTAAAATATTTCCTCAATAAACTCATTCAAAACATGTCTTCAGTATATGAAACAACTTCTGTAATAAATATACACTAACAATAAACTAACTAACCATGTCTAATTATAATAAATATGGCTGTAAACTGCACAGAAATAATTACAAACATATATTAAACCATAACATCTAAATGGAAACTATCAATAAAAACTTAGAAAGTAGATTTCAATATTTTATTGCGTATAATTAAATACGTACAAACTACCCAGTAAGATCATAAAATTGTACGTATTACATTTCTAAGTGTGGCAACCCGGCCGTATGGTACCTTTACCCAGTGCGGGTTAACGTTCCGACGTGCACGGACGCGTTTTACCGTCGCTCGTTTTTATCAAAAGCCGAAAGTTCTTATCCCTCGAGTACCTAAAATTTTTATTCGATTAATATAACACATTTGTTCGTGAAATGTGCCAGTGTACAGTGCTTGTGGAGTGATATTTTAGTGTCGTTTTTAACAAGTTGATATTTTAGAAAGGTGTTAATAATGCAAGTATGTATGTGGAATGCAATCGTATTTAGGTTTAAAATCTGGGTCTTGTTTTGTAATATTGTTGTGCCGGGATACGTTGACAGTTGACATTATTTAGGGTGTTTATATTTTAAGGTTGAAGTGAAAGGGTGTTGCTTTTTTAAAGAATGTAATTTTTTATGGGATGCTTAGATTTTTATGTGTACAATTGTTACCGCATTGTTACGTAGTTTTCAATAGTAAAGTGTTAATTTGATTTCGTAATGCGATGTTTGTGAGACATCAGATTTAACGTTTAAGTACTTTTCAATAGTTTCTTCAAATCAAGTAGTTGTCTTACAATGGTTGAAGATAATTATTTGGTCGTATAATATTTCTATGCTTCAAAGAACACGTATTTTGTCAATGTTGTCATATCATATGGACATATAAGTATGTATGTATATAATATGACAGTCGTTCCGTTTGTCAGTTGTTAAAAGATCTGACAACGTGTCTAATCTAACTAAAGATGACAGATGGCAAAGGATAGATGCGAAAGAAGGATTTAAAAAAAAAAAATATTTGAATTTCGCCACAGACTTGTGTACATGCCCTTGTAGGTACATTGTTTTCCTGGTAAAATAATTGTTATAAAGATCTTAAATGCTACGCCAACCATTAATAAGTATTACTACACAAAGTACTTGATATTTAAAAGCAGCATAAGATCCAATACTTAACCCAAAAAAGAAAAACTGGGAAAATTCCTAAAGGTACACAACGTAAGAAGATTATTATTAAACGGTTTTATTTTAGCTTGTTTTATTATTTGTTTGGGACTAATTTAGTAATTAGGATTTCGCCCTCTTCCTGACAGATCGATCTGATATTTGGTACACACTCATAATTTTAATGACCATACAATATTATCTTATTTTCTTTACAACTACCTCCGTTATGGATATCAAACGTAAGGCTATGATGAGCTCGAGATACATCCGATCTGGAGCCGCAGAAGACTTAACGGTTTCCCAGGACAGCAGGTGAGGCAAGAGGGGGCTCTTGCCTCACCCGGGCGGAAGGAGTTATTGGATGATTTGCCCCCTCAAAAAAAAGGCTTTGGCTGTATGCAGGAGTAGGAACCGGTGGTTAGTCAGTAAGAGTCTGACACTCCCTCTCGCCTCAAACAGGACGGGAGAAGTAATTAGATCAATTTCTCCCCTCGAGAAAAAGACTCAGTGCTCTTACTGCAGTAAAGAGTGCAGCGATTATTATTTGTTAATTAATTTTAATCGAGGGTAAAGGTTTAATGACTTGTTGACTACGGATTAGCCGGTCACACGTAGGTTACGTGATAATACATACGATAAACTTTACCAGTTGCCTCGTTGGCCGAGTGGTCGCAAGTGCGACTAACGGGCAAGGGGCCTTCGATTCCCGGGTCGGGCAAAGTATTACTGGGTTTGTAAAAATCTCAGTAGTAGCACGGAGTTTGGAATTGTGTTCGGTATATGGCAATAGGCTCATCCCCTATTACATGGTAGTCATAACATGAATAGTGAAAAGTGGGTGTTACTTTGTACAGTGTAATGTCCACTTATGTAATTAATCTAAATTCATTGAAAACAAGCACTTCGAAACGTCAAAAGGCTACATACATCTCTGGCTACCCTTCGACAGACAGAGATCAGTTAAAATCATAACACATAACAGTAAAGATCAAGATTTGACCTTTTTGCCCATAAATATATAACAGCTACACGTTATCTCAAACTAACTATATAAATACGTAGAAGTATACACTACCGCTCAAAAGTATTTGGCCACCCTGTAAAATACATTTTGTGAAAGATTGAATAAATGAAACTGCTTTATAATATTTTAAACTATTTATTAACACTATTCTAAGTATTAAACATAACACGTTTCCTAAATTTTAGACTCATCTATATGTCCACCTTTGTTTTTAATTACGGCTTCACAAAGCTTCGGCATCCTTGCAATTAATTTCTCCAGTGTCGTCTTAGTTATCTTCTGCCATTCTTCTTGTAACTTTCTCCATAAGTCTTCCTGAGATGTAGGACAACATTTTCGCACTTGTCTATCTAACTGATCCCACAATAATTCGATAGGGTTGAGGTCTGGGGACTGCGGAGGCCATGTCATGAGTTTCAAGACATTTTGTTGTTCTTTTCCTTTTAAAAAGTCCTTGCAGAGTTTCGACGTGTGTTTAGGATCATTATCCTGCTGAAATACAAATCCCGAACCAATTAAACGGGTTCCTGACGGTACTCCACTATTCTCTAATATGCTTTTGTAACCTTCTTTTTTTAAGATTCCCTGTATCCGTACAATATCTCCAACAGAGAAGCCACCAAAACAGCCCCAAACCATCACAGACCCTCCGCCGTGTTTAACAGAAGCCACAGTACAAGCGTCGATCACCCTTTCATTAGACTGCCGGCGTACGAAAACTCTTCGCTTAGATCCAAAAATTTCAAATTTCGATTCATCCGTCCAGAGAACCTTTTTCCAATCTTCTGTTGTCCAATTCTTGTGTTCCTTAGCCCAATGTAGTCTCTTCTTTTTATTAACAGCTTTAAGAAGTGGTTTTGAGACCGCTACGCATCCTTTAAGTCCTGCGTCAAGGAGTCTTCTTTTGATTGTAGACACACTCACTGGTTTATCACGCCCTATGTTGAATTGTGCTGCTATTTCTGGTGCGGTTAATCGTCTATTCCGTTTGCTTTTGACAACAATATTCAAATCTTCACTCGAAGTGGTGGCTCTTGGTCTACCTGGACGAACACTTGCAAATTGTTCCTTCAGACGCAAATTTCTTGACAATGTAGTCCACAGTTTGCCTTGGTATCTTCTGCAATCTTGATATCTCACGATTACTTTTACCGGATTTATGAAGACCGATTATAATGCCTCTGGTCTCTTGAGAATGTTCCTTCGTTTTACCCATTTTCACCAAAAAAACAAAACTTAACGCGCGAATGACAAAAAAATGTTACTAGACTTCAATTGTTGAGTTGGAGAGCCTGATTTCTGGTCCAATGACATCAAATAACTAAGGTTATTCAATCTCTAGTAATTGTTCCACGGTACCAACTAATTTATTTCTTAAAAATGTAATTAAAAAGAAAGTGAAATTAAAATTAAATTTTGAAGAAAATTCCGGCAATAACACTATCTTGATATTACGACCAGGAATTCGCCAATAACAATAAGCTGTTTACCTTATTTGAATGTAGATAAGTATTTTACGATGAAATACAAACATTGGAACATAATAAAATTGTTTTTAATGAAATATAGTTGGTGGTAATATCAAAAGTGCAAGTGGCCAAATACTTTTGAGCGGTAGTGTATAACAGAGTATATTTTACGATGTTTTTATTTTACATAACGCGTAGTATTGTGTGAAGCGAATCGATTTATTTATAGTTTTTATTATAATAATATAATAGTATGGTACAATACTAGGTTTTTTATGGCATAAGCCGGTAAACGAGCAGACGGGTCACCTGATGGTAAGCAATCGGCGTCGCCCATGGACACCTGGAACACCAGAGGCGTTACAAGTGTGTTACCGGCCTTTTGGGATTAGGAGTTTGAGGATCGTTGGGGATTCAGGGATTGGGGAGATTGGAGAAGGGGAGGGTAATTGGGCCTCCTGACTAGGTATTTAACTGTGGGAAAGCCATGCTTCGGCACGAATGGGCCGGCTCGACCGGAGTGATACTACGGCCGAACAGAAAACCGACGTGAAACAAACACAGCCTTGTGTTTCGTCGTGTGAGTAAGATTACCGGAAGCACAATTATCTCTCTCCCCAATCTCTCCGAATCCCCAACAATCCTCATATTCCTAATCCCCAAAAGGCCTGTACCGTACTTGTAACGCCTCTGATGTTTCGGGTATCCATTGACGACGTCGATTGCTTACCATCAGGTGATACGTCTGCTCGTTTACCGGCTTATTTCATAAAACAATCAGCTGTTTTTTTGCACACGTTTGTATATTTGATAAGTCAAAAGTTAGGGTTATGTTCATGTTTTTTCAGGTCATAACGTTATTTTTTCTGATAACTGACCTTCTCCAATGACCCCTTCAATGATATCAGTCTGTCCGTCAGTAAAGTTAAGTGTTCGTTTCAAAATGTAGTTTCATGTGGAGAAAAACAAGCAAGAAACTGCAATCATCAGTTAATTTTTAACTGTAGAATAAAATTTACATTGGACAGGTTTTAGTATATAGAATAATTGTTAAATATTCAAAGTTATTTCTCAGCTAAAATTTATCTCACGTTGGAAAAATCAGCCTATTGTAAGACCTAAAAATCGAACCCTATATCAACTTACTAAACTAAAGAGGTTGTCAGTCACTAAACATCTGTTTTTGTTATTAAACCCTTCCTCTAATCGTCAATTCGTCCTACAGACACACACCGCATATCTACCTCAATAGATTTACAACCTTACACTCTTTAAAATAAAGTCGAAAATCTATCAACAAACGTATAGTGTAACTTAATCTGCTTGCATCTATAAAATGGGCAGATTTTCAACTTTATATCTAAGTGATAAAGTCGCTATTAGGGATAGCTTCATCGTCCTTTACCCTCCCGACCTCTAAAGTACGCGTAGGATCACCACATGGTCTGAATGTCCCTCCCACAATGAATGAATGAAATTTCTTAACCAGTGGGTAGGCAGACCTCTAGTCGCAAGGTCGAATAATTGACACATAACTAGCTAACTGGTTTTATTTTCGAATTGTGATGTAATGAATACGGGGTACAGTCAGTGTGTAAAGTGAGGATGTGATATGTGACGATTTTTTAAGGTTAGATTTTTTGTTCTTAGACATATTTTGTTGGTGGTTTGCGCTCGTTGATGAGCGTTGTTTCTCACTTAAGATAGGTCATTCGAGATAAAAATTGTTGAATTGTGGTACAGAGTATGGAATTAATGTAACCCAGTCTTCTGGTAATACATATTTTTTGGTTTTACAGAATGTCGTTTACCTAA